TCGGAGCTGGTCAGGCCGTCCGCGTGCGTCAGCATCGGCAGGACGTTGCTTCGGCGGGATAGGCGGCGGATCTGGTCCCCATACGGGTCAGCTCCTCGCCAATCGGCTCATATGCGAAGAGCATGATGCAGTGGCTCACGATATCGAGGTCGATCTCGGATAGCCCTGACTCTGGGCTAGCGTAAGCTTGGGACGTTGCGACAGGGTCGCTTGCGCCTTGCGAACACTCGCCGGGCTCGAACAGTCCGGCGCAAGACCAGTCGACCAGTTCGTCCGAGACCGGAAGGTCCGGCCGAAGCACATTTCTCGCGTCGAGAGTGTACAGAACTGCAGGAGTCAGCAGATCAATCACTTGCCCTTGTTTCGATCCCGAGCCATGCTAAGATGCTACCTCACCCAGATGCACCAGCCCATCCTCTACGCCCACCTTACGCCTGACCTTCCTCTCCTCTCGCCACAGCTCGTCATATCGCCCTTCTACCAGCTGATTCAAGCCCAGGACTCCCCTCTCCCTCTCCACTTGGCGAACAGGATCCATCGGGGTCAAATCCAAGCCGGGCGTGTCGATGATGTGGACCTGAAGGCGGTCCCCGATATCCGAGATGAAGGTATGAGCCTGCGGGTGCAAGGTCGGGGCGGGAGAGAATTGTCCGACATGATCCAGCTGGCCGTCCCCCATCGACGACGCCAGCAACAGCCTGACAAAGCTGCTCGGGGCAATCAACTGGACGCATCTCACCAGCACTCCAGTCCCGCTCACCTGGTCTTGCCTGTGTCCTTGCCACCCGCCACAACCACATTGAGCGTGCTCGCGGCTCCCCTTCTCTTGTCCTTGTTGTTGCGCCTGATCGAGCTTAGGATACTGTTCCTTGCTTGTCTCGCGACCTCGGCCTCTGAGATCCTACCGGGGTATCCGCCTTCAGACGACGCCGCGGGCGATCCCGAGTAAGGCTGCGCACCGCTGGGTCGTCTCGACTCGGGCAGGTTCTGGAAAAGCAACCGGCCCTGCTGAACATGCACAGCATGCTTGATCCTGGTGGGGAACGTGTTGTTCGCCACGGGCTTCACTTGACCTCTACCCTTGGCACCTTGAGCGGAAGTCGCTTCGCTCACTGCTGCTCGCTTTTGCGGGGAGAACGAGAACGGAGGGACCTCCTCCCAGTTGGAAGGATCGATCAAAGGCGTGGTCAGGTCCGGGAGCGAGAGAGACGGCCTGACTGAAGGGGTTCGGTGGCCGGATTCTGGCCTAGGCTTTTTGCTGCGAAGGAAGGCGGGGGCCATGCTGGCGGTGAGCAAGGGCGACGTTCTTTCTGAATGTAGCTATGGGAATGCTGATCGAGCCAGAGTCAGTTCGACGGCGCAGTTCAGCAGATACAGGTCAACAGGTCAGCGAGTACAGATCTGAGAAACGGGTCAACAGGCCAGCACAGTATTCGGTCAATAGCCCACACAGTCCACCAGGGGTAGGTTGTCGAGGCCAGTGCGTGTTTCACGTCGAGTATGTGTCATGGTCCTCAGAACGCCATACTCCTGTGAGGCACTTCGGCCGCAGTATCCCAACAACATAGCCGCCGAAGCCATCGATGCAGCAAAAGCATAACAGAAACAAGGGTGATACCCACTCGCGCTCTTGATCACTCGCTCGATCGCGTCTCAGTGAACCGCGGCGATCACCGCTCGATGATGTTCTTTTAGCGCGATTCCACTACGTCACCGCCAGGTGGGACGGTTTTCCCTGCTGGATGGATGGATGGGGGAGGGAAGGGGATGAGATCGACCATCTGACCAACGGGGTTGTTGCTATTCCTCTTCTCTACCTCTACAAGCGATTCGTTCACCTCACACACAACTCAGTCACCGCACAGCACTCACACGTAGAACCCTCACTCAGTCACAATGGCAAGCACCCACTCCAAGTTCCCCATCTTCATCGCGGCCACCATCGGTACGTCCCTGGGTTCCTCCCGCGAGATCGAGCTCTGCTGATGGTTTCCCATCTTAGGTGCCGCCGGAGCGTACTACATCGTAGCTCCCAAGGTCGAGCGAACAGGCAAGACTGCCGGACCCGCCCCTGGTGACGGTCGAAGCCAGAGCGTGCTCGACAACAAGAACAACTCGGGGTGGGTGGTGCTTAGCTACACGCCTAGTGCTGGCTATCGCTTGAAGGGTGTCATGCTGATCCTTTGCTCGTCCAGCGACTCGTCCCAGTCTCCTCACCCCGCCCTCAAGTATGGCGGAGCCGCTCCTGAAAACATCAAGCAGCAGACCGTGGCCGGTACCTCTCAGCAGAGCAGGAAGTCGTACTCGGGTGGGTCCCATGCGTTTGGTCATACCGCTCAGGAGCACCCACTGACTCGCCCCTCCCCCAGCCGACCACGACATCAAGACCAACTCGAACCCCGGCCATGACGGGACCGGCGGTGGCGGTGTCGGTGTGGCCGAGATGCGGGAGAGGAAGATGGCCGGTCAGGGTCTTCCCAGTCCTCAGGTGGGTGGTCTGGAATTTGGACGGTCACCGGACGACAGACGCTGACTCTGCCACAGGGCGGTGACACCAAGGCAAAGACGGTCGAGGCGCAGAAGGGCTACAACGACGGACAAGGCCCTCCCCACGCCAAGGGTCCTCAGGAGCAGAAGAGCGGTGACAAGAAGGGCAGCTGGTGGCCTTTCTAAGCTTTGGTAGGGCGAGCGGGGTTGAGCCTGAAAGGATAGTCACGGCGAGTGAATCACAAGCACCCATACTGTAGCCATCAGAGCGGACGAGAAGCAATGCAATCATGACAAGAAGCCGTGGGGTGTAGCGAAGCCATCGTTCTTGTCCGCAGAGTTGAATGTAATTCTCAGGATTAATGACAGAGGGGTACAGGACGTGCGAAAGGCAACGATTGTAGGGTGAACTCGTGGCATCGCCTCAGAACTATGCGGGGTCACTGGTTAGGAGCGCTCACAAAGCCTCAACTCATACTCCGCGGAAACAGACACAAGCTGGAAGACTCCTGTCACTCAGGCCTATTTCGCATGCTGATGACATGTCTGCGTGAGATGATATACAATGGTAGTTATATAGCGGATGGTTATCCATCATCTTAGGTCGGTGAGGATGTCATGAAGATATGCTTAAGAGGCACTGCAGTGCGGGACCGGCGTCAGTTTGGTCCTGCCACTATCCCTCCCCCACTCACGCAGTCTCGGCCTCGACGGCCTTCTCAACCTCGATAGGCTTCATCTCCTTGGCGACCTTGGCGGTGATCTGCCTGTCCTCGATGAGGATACCCTGGACCTTCTCGACGGCCTCGGCCTGCTGAGCCTCGTCCTCGAGCTCGACAAAGCCAAAGCCCTTGGAAGCTCGGAAAGGCTTGGAGCCGGGACCGGCCCGTCGGATGCCCTTGACGATCTTGGCGCTCTTGACCTTGATGGAGAGGTTGGTGAAGATCGTGGCGAGGGCCTCGTCGTCCACGCTGAAGGGGAGGTTGGCGACAAAGATGGTGTTCTGGCGGATCGGGTCAGCGAGTCACTAACGGACACGAGGCATGACTAACCTTGGACTCGTCACCGGTGAGCTCCAATCGAGGCTTCCTCTCCTTCTTGGGCTTGGGCGCCTTCTTCTCCGAGGTCTCCTTCTTCTCGTCGGCAGCACCGTTGACGTCGATCCTGCCCTTGGCAGCGGGCTTGCTCGACTCCTCAACCTCGGCCTCACCCTCACCCTCGTCACCTTCTCCGGGAAGGCGTCGTCGGGGCTTCTACACGGCACAAGCTCAGCTACGATACTACTCAGCCATCATTGCACCCACCTTGGCCTTGGTGCTCTTCTTCTTCTTGGGCTTGGCCTCGCCCTCAGCGGCAGGGGCGGCAGGAGCCGGGGCAGCCTCCTTGGCTGCGGCGGCCTTCTCAGCCTTGGCAGCCTGCGCGGCCTCCCTGGCGACCTTTCGCTTCTCGTCCTTGGCCTTTCGAAGCTCGAGGACCTCTTCGGCGGGTTTGGCGATCTCGAGTCGGACCTTTCGTTCTCCGAATTCTACGGGGTTCACGAGTCAGCAATGTGATGGGTCGAGCTCAGCGAGCCCGCTCACCCTTATCGTTCAGCTGCTCGACGGCCTTCTTGGCATCGGCCTCGTCCTTGTAGCTGACGAAAGCGTAACCGGCGGGTCGTCGACCGAACCTCAGGGGGAGGTTGACGGACAAGCTGTGAGGTGTCAGCCGTGATCTCGACCGAGAACGCTAGTCCAACCTCAAAGCTCTACTCACACCTCACCGCCAGCGGGAGCGATAAACTCTCGAACCTGCTCTTCGGTTACCTAGAATGGGTCAGTCGAACCGCACTAACGCTCATCTTGGTGGAGCGAGCCTAATACTCACAGAGTACGAGAGGTTACCGACGTAGACCTGCGAGCTCGTCAGCGTGCACCCCATCAGCAGTGACTGGACCCACCCTGTGGCCATCTTCGCCTTTGGGGATATCAGCGACTCCGGGGGCGTTCTCAGTGGTAGCAGACATGGTGGATCTCGTTGTCTGGGGTGTTGACGCGACGCTTGGTAGGCGAAATCAGGCTTGTATGAGCGGGGGAAAAGGGGGGAAACGCGTGTGGGCGTAAGACACTCGGACGATGATTTGGCTCTGGTGTTATCGAAAGAGGCTGGAGAGGGGAGAAAGAAGAGGTCTGCTAGAGCTTGGCTCGAGGTCAACGATGGAGTGGATCGCGTGCACGGTGGGGGGGATGGGTGACGCATCGGTGGAGGTGGCCGGGTATTGCGGCGATTCAGACCCAAGTGGCGCGGAATCGTCGATTGTCACTGGCTGGTCCTAAGAAGTGCTAAACAGGCAACCATTCCGATATCCTTGCAGAGATCGGACCAGTGCATGCAACGCCGCAGCGGAACGGGCCATACGTGGCAGAGACCCAATGCCATTTTGCACGGTTCAATCTTTCAATTCAAGATGCAAGATGTATGATGTATGATGTGAACAGCCGGCCAGCCAGGGTCAGCCTGCAAAAAGGCAAAACTGCCACCGGTGAGGTTCGAACTCACGCTCCTAAGAACCGGATTTAAGATTTACGTTTTAGACAACTTAAGGCCGGCGCGTTAGACCACTCCGCCACAGTGGCACTGCCTTTCTAACGTGGCCAAGCGGATCCTTGCAATATATACCCCCATGGGCATTCACTACGAAAGGCCAAAGGCCGTGTTATGCCTTCGAATCCGCCCCCAACTCTTGGTCTTGAGACATACTAACGGCCTCTTTACTTGCAACACACACAATGGTAAGTGAGTCGAGGAACTTGTTTGAGGACGTGGTGGGTGCTCAGGTGCAATATGTACTTTACAGGCCAATGCATCTTCAAAACGAATCGCCTCGGCCAACGAGACGGCGTTGAAGAACCTTCAGCTGGGGCTGTTGGTTGTCAATGTGAGCTCAGGCGGCGTCACCTCTGCCTCGTCCCCAAGCTGATCGTCGCTCCTCATGTCAGGTCCTCGCGCCTGTACTGCGATTCCTGCTGTCCCTCATCACATCTAGAAGGTTCCTGCCTCGCGCTTTGCCGTTGACGCTCCAGGTCGTCTCGTTCGGTGCCACCATCTTTGTCTGGCGATGGTTTGTCAGCATCGGCACACCCAGCCGGCCAGGCTCGGGCCAACTCCGAGTCGGAGAAGATCTGGCGGGTAAGGGCGTGGTGGAACTGGCCTGGGATCTGTAGGTCTGCCAGTCTGCCGTGAGTCGCAACATATCAGCTGACTCGGGAACCTTGCAGCATCTACATGACCTGGATCTGCACTCTCGGCTCGGCGTTGTTCGGAGACTGGGTCTGGTGGTTGTCACTCCTGGTGAGCTGCCCTGGCGCAATCGTAAGAGCCTCACGCTGATACATGCTTTTCGCAGGTCCCCGCTTTCGGCGCGTACAAGCTGTTCAACACCATCCGACCTATCCTCGGCATGTTCCTTCCTGGCCTGTTCGGACCCAAGGCGCCGAGAGACCCCGCAGCTCCAGCCGCAGCCGGCGTTGCGCCAGGAGAACCCGCTGAGAAGGCTGAGTCCAAGCGACAGGCCAAGCTGAAAGCGAGGATGGAGAAGGGGGACAAGAGGGTGCAACAGCGACAGGTTCAGAGGGCTCAATAGCTGAAGAGGATGAACAATGCATGAGATGCGATTGGCTTCTGATCTCGTGCGCGCTCCGCATGTTGCCGTGCTACACTGGCCACGCTGTGCCGATTGTACGCCGTTCTATTGCGCGAGACTCGCCTCGATCCTGCCCGCTGATTCGCCCATCTCAAGTAAGGTCCCATGCAAATGCTAAGAGTAATGCACCACTACCTACACCCCATCTCACTTCTTTCCGAACCCTCCCCAAGGGTTCATCCACTTGTTGGTCTTGTTCCTCATCCTCGGCATGGACCTCTTAAAGTACTCCCAACCGAGAGACATGAGCTCTCCTCCAGCATCGTATGGTGAGGGAATCTCCGAGTAACCAGGTCGAGCGGTGGGATGTCGTACGTACACCGCGGAGCAGGTGAGGTATGATGGCAGGATGTAGGCGGGGACGAAGATGTGTGGTGAGGCGTACGCAGGGAGAGTGAAGTGGGACGTTGCTGTTGATGAGCTGGAGATGACGTCGGGGGTGGTCGAGGTAGGAGTCTGCGAAGCGGTCGAGGCCTCGGTAAGGGAGGACGAGTCGGCGTCACCGGATGTCGATGCGGTGGCGCCCACTTCCTCTGGTGATTCGGATTCGGCATCGGGTGCGACCTCGGCATCCTCAACCGCTGCTGCGGGCTGGGCTGCAGGCGGTGCGAGCATGACGATGGCTTTGGGATCTACCGAGAACAGATCTCCTGGATCCAGCATGACGTTGGGATTGCGTACCTGGTCGAGACACGTCCTGTCAGCGATGACCGCAGAAACGGCAGTCTCGCCGCGACAAGGTACAATGCACTCACCACCTGCCCGTTCAACTTGACATGCCCTTGCACGACATATCTCCTAGCCTCCCACACACTTTGCGCGAAACACGCTCTAAAGATCAACACGTCCAGTCGCCTCTCCACGTCGGCGAACAGCATCGTTCCGATCGGGGCCTTGCTGTCCTTCTCCTTCTTCTTGGCTCTGCGTTCCTCGCCCGTCCTTCCTCCTGCACGTTCTCGTCCCTCCACCCACTTGTTCATCTCTGCCCCACTTGATCCCGAGTTGGACTCGTGGATAGCTGGGAGCTTCTCAGGCATATACCATCGCGAGAATTTGGTGTAGCCAATGTGATCTCCGTGATATCCCCTAATCAGACGCTTGGCCGTGAATCTAAGCTGGTACGGGGTAGAGTTGGTTCGGGTAAAGTCGTGCGTTCGCTTGATGGGCGACTCGGGGGCGGTACGTTGCCACAGGTTGAAGAGATTTTCGGGCGCCCAGCTCTACAACCAATGCGGTGTTAGCCAAAGCGTGGGCCAAAGCGATCGATGACCAAAACATTCCCCGCGAAAGCACCCGCAGCGTGACCACCACAACTTACCATACGAGGGATCGCCCGATTGTAGTTGAACACATGCCTGGCGGCGGGTTTGATCGGCATGACGGCGTCTGCTGGCTGCGCGAAGAGGTGCGATCACGACGCTGGAATGGTCAGAGCGAGCTCAAGCAGAAGATGGTATCAGCAGTTGGTTGTCTCACTTTTGTCGGAAAGTCAGGAGGAACCAAAATGTCGAGGTGAAATAGGCGTGTGAGTACCCATGATCATCTTGGGCGGGCCTAAAAATTGCCAGGCCAAGATAGGCATGGCGGCCCAGACCTCCCTCACGTCATCGTTGTCCGATCGATAAAGCGTATAGCCGAGACCATCTATACGCTGTAGAGCTATACTCGATCTACCTCATCTAACTTTCTACCTATCCACCGCTCTACCTCGGTTCACAATCAAGACACCAACACCATGGTCATCTCCGACGTATTCACCTCCTCCGAGTCTTCTCACAAAGGCGTCAATGACATCCCCGCGCCTAGATCGGATGCCATGGCTAATGCTCCCCCGCCCGAGCAGCACAAGACGGTAGCTGGGTTTGTCCAGGTGAGCGGGGGTGTGCGACCCATCAGGACAGCTGGCTGATCATGGAACAATTGACCTGCAGGAAGCCCCCAATGCTAGGTGAGCCGGTGTTACAATGGCGGCGTTTGAACATACCCGCTTACCTCGCCTTTAGATACACCTTCGACTCGCGGAGGAACGCCGATGCAGAGGACACCGAGCTGTGTCGGATAACGCCCCAGGGGGGTAAGAGCTGCATCAAGGTGAGCCGTGGCGTATGGTCCAGGCCACATAGACTGATCACTCAATCTTCTAGCTCGCCATCGCCAGTGCAGCCCTTTTCAAGAGCATGCAGTCTTTGGGTACGTACTGACACCCCTTGGAGCCTTTTGCGATACCTCGACAGCTGACAACGACTCCGAGCAGGCTTCTACTGCGCTCTGCCTGCCGAGCCCACACGAACGCACATGGAGTGCACCAGGATCCCCAGATAGGTGATACGGGGAGCAGGCAGGAATCAATCACAGGAGGAACAAAGGGACCCGAGCATGCTGTAGCAGTATGGCTGAGCATTTGTATGCATACATCACTCATCGCATGTGGTGGTCCAACCGGACAGACGACCACCATCGATCTGGCTGCCACTGTACGCTCACGTGGACGGTGTATCTGTCACCCCCCCTTTTAAGCTCACGTCGCACAGACGCGTCCGAGGTGCAAGGTTGACTTTCTTTTGTTGATCTTTTGAGTGTAGAGTACCGCTGATCAGTCTATACCCTCGTTCATATCCACCTTGCATTCACTACCGGTCACCATGTCTGTCTACGTGGGAGAGTGTGAGTCACGGTCGTAGCGGGAATTTCTTGCCCCTTGCAAGCTGCGTCTTGGGCACACCTTGCCTGGAATACTGAGCAGTGGGTACGACATCAGAGGCTGACCGTTCCTTCACCAGCCCGAGGAGAACTCTTGGCATGGCTCAATGACTTGCTTGCCCCCATCACTCTCACCAAGGTGGAGCAGTGCGGTACTGGATCCGTATACTGTCAGATCATTGACTCGATCTACGGTGGGTGATACATTGCTCGCTACGGCCATGCCCATTTACCAATTACCCCATCTATCCCCACAGGTGACCTGCCCATGTCGAGGGTCAAGTACAATGCCAAGATGGAGTACGAGTACTTGGACAACTTCAAGATCCTGCAAAAAGCCTTCAACAGCCATCGAATTGAGAAGGTGAGTCAGAAAGGTTGATGAACCCAACGTGCTGGCTGACCAGACCCAGCCGATACCCGTCGAGCGTCTGATCAAGTGAGCTGACTCTGTGACTTGGGCCCGGGGTGCCCTCCTGTCATGTATCGCACCAAGCTAACCCGTCACAGGTGCAAGATGCAGGACAACCTGGAATTCTTGCAGTGGATGAAGAAGTACTGGGACGTCAACAGCGGGGGACAGGTGTACGATGCACAGGGTCGAGCGTGAGTGTTGTGCGACTGTGAGCCGATGAGACCTGCCAGCTGATACCCTGGTGAAGCAACGGCGCTATCGTCTCGGCACCCCCACCTACGTCCCGAGCCACATCGGGCGCTCGTTCATTCACCCGACCTGCTGCGTCCGCCGCCGGCGCGGGATCTCGATCCGTGTCGAGCGCCTCGGCGGCTCAGGTGGCGCAAATGCAGGCTCGTGTGGCAGAGATCGAGGCTCATAGCGAGGGTCTGCTGAAAGAGAGGGACTTTTACTTTGACAGTGCGTGCTGTCGGTTATGGCAAGACTTACGGAATCTCGCTGATCCAGCCATTTTGCAGAGCTCCGCAACATCGAGCTCATCGTGCAGGAACGTACGGCCATCGAGGGTATCTCGGCTGAAGAGAGCGAGGTCATGGCCAAGATCCAGGAGATCTTGTACGCTACGATTGAAGGATTCGAGGTGGGTGTCGATTGCTCGCGGTAGCTCTGCATTACTGACGGGATACCAGGTGCCCGAAGGAGAGATGGTCGAAGAAGAGCCCCACCAGGACGAGGAGGAGACTTTCTAGGTGCAGACTTGGTGCGGCATAGACTACAGGGGGAATGATTTATCCATGCATTCCTCCGATCGCTAGCTG